GTATTTATTTTTTGTGATTCTGCTCCGTTGCAAGCTATTACCTTAAGTACCGGTTGACGGCGGAACGCTGCAGTCATCTATCTCCGCGGTACGAATTACCGGTTGACGGCGGAACGCTGCAGTCATCTATCTCCTGTTGCGGTACGAAGTTACCACTGATCGGATGCCTGAACTCACAATACAAGTGTCTAATCTTTTATGTGAAGTGCACCTCCGTCATTGTACGGCCAAATTCTACTCCAGACACATAACTCAGAGAGTTAGGTAACGCTTGCGTCGGTAATGTAACCTTTGGACTCACTCAGCCGAGAGCAGCTTCTCGATCCCAATCTTTTTTCTTTGGTGTTTTAATTATCCCAGCTTGATATGAATGGAACCTCTTAGGAAGGTATTTTGAAGGTGAAGTCCACACAAGCCAATCAAATCAAAACGTGCCACCCAGGTGACCGAGTAATTCAAACAGTTTGCTTCGAAGAAACAAGCAAAACTTGTAACTTCCGGCACATTTAAAACAGGAGACAAACTAAGTTAAAGAGTGCTGAATTTCCTGTTTAAAAAACAGTCATGGGGTACGTCACAATTTCCCATGCACTTCATTTGAATCGTGTACATTACCAGCGAAGACAATACATTAATTAGACGAGCCCACAGAGCTCCTAACCCAATGACCTCTCTTTGACGGGTCACAACAGTACCATCCCGCACACTTCAAGTTGTTTTACCGCCATTCAAAAAAAACAGTCAGGGGGGACGTCACAATTTCCCATGCACTTCATGTGCAACCTGTTGCACTGGTTTTGAATCGTGTACATTACCAGCGAAGACGATACATTCATTAGACGAGCTCACAGAGCCCCTATCCCAATGACCTCTATTTGACGGGTCAAAAGAGTACCATCCGGCACACTCCGAGTTGTTTTACCGCTATTCATACTAATAACTGGTTTGTTGTGTGCGTGACTTGGAAAAACATAAACTGATGCTGCCGAAGTAGGGAAGGCGACGTCCAGGGTGACGGACTTTTCATTCAGGTACTCAAGGTTCACCCACTCAGTTCACTAACGAGTCTGTCCAGGGTTTGTATACAGCTGCATTCATTTCGTATCGTCCTTCGATGAATCAACTGATATGGCTTTCACATCGTGTTATGTGCTACCCGATGTCTTTTCAGTGCTTTGGCACAATATGACCCTAAGTGAATGCGTGCAGTTAGCTAGTGCAGCGATTAAAAGCACACTAATCTATTTTGAAACGAACGACTGACACTTGTTTACTATATACCTCGAGAATAATGTTAGTTAGCTTGTCGAATTCGCAGAATCCGATCAGGTATTGCTCGAATATTCAACCCATCTTACCGTGCATACCAGAGGTTTGGTTACCCATGTACATTTTTGGTGAGTGGAAGCAACATATGCCAAGCTAACAATCTCTTCACCGGAGCCTATGTTATGCACATTGGTGGCACTCTTGAGAATTTTTAAAATCTCAAATGGAACTATCCCACTACTGACCCTAAGACCTTAAGCCCATAGACCTGTTTTCCATAGGGAATTGTTGGGGAATACATTCCCATCGATAAATCCGACGAAAGCTTATTGATTGCAGTGGGAGGAGTTTTTAGAAATAGGTTGTTTGACATGAAAGTGTGTTTTTCTTTCCATTTTCTTGACACGCCTTTGAAGCGCATGTTGGGCAGAACCGAGCGCGCGCCCCGGTGTGCAATCGTCGGTCATTTACTATTGATCGTATACTCTTGCTACTCGTGCTTTTTGTTAGTAATATATGTGTTTCACGCAATCTGATGCCAAAGGAAGCCCCCAACACCTGGATAAGAATCGGCGCCTTGAGCATAAGGTGAGCTCCTCACTCTCGGAACAGCTCAGACGGCTTTGAAAAAGCACGGGTGTCGGACTAACCGCAATAAGGTCTCGGAAAACCGCCCTTCTCATGACGGGAAGAGAACTACCATCTAATGTGGGTAATGTCGTTCGCTGACAATAAAACTAGAATGTTCATCAATGTGGATTGAAGTGTTGGGGAAGGGTGACTGTGATCATGGTAAGTTAGGCAGTGGTTGTCTGAGGGAAACTACCAATAAACCATTGGGTCAACAAGAACACCAGTGCTGAATATCATTTTGGTCCAAATTTCTCTGGGGCTTTGCTTAAAGATCACATTGTTTTTTTTCATTATCAAAGCTGTCTTCAAATAAATTTACCACACTGGCTATAGGATTATTGGAAACTCTTGGACAGACCCTGGCCGGTTTCGCCCTTCTTGGGGCTCATCTCCGCGTTTCCCTCAACTCAACCATCGTAAACGAGAAATTCAGCCGGATTCATTGGAGTCTCCCGTAAAAACCAAAATTTGTGTGCGAATGACAGTGTCTGTCTTTAACTAATTTGCTCTTTGTCCCTACTCTGTTTATGTCCCTCAGGTTTTTCGATTTTCGAACTTTACGTTGTGGCAGTAACATCAGGTATCCAGCCCACATGTCATCATGGCAATGTGCGTTTTCCGATAATGTAATGGTCGGTTGTGCATTGTACCTCTTCACTATTGAAATACATCAGTAGTTACTGTGTATACTATGTAGACATTCCAGCAACTTTTAGGGAACGGAGCGAGGTAGATTTTAGATTCATCGTCTTCACTAAATGAGGGGAGATGCCTCAGTGGTTAGAGCGCGAATTTACCGACCGGAAGGTTTGTGGTTTGAACCTGACCTATGCATCTCGACTTCCTATCTATCCTATCCGAAATCTCGCACCTCACCGTACTCGCATCACTGTGAGCTCGGTACATTGCCCATGTGTCTGTTGTGATCTGGCTTTGCTTGTTCGTGGTTGGTGAGTTGTAGCTTTCACTGGTCTACTTCACGGGTCTACTATTTCCGGGGTATCAGTCTTGTGCTACACTCTCTCAGTCGAATATTATCCTTTATCTTGTATCGGAATCTTTATTTGTAGGTTTGCTGTGCCAATTCGCTATCGGTTTCCTGCTTATCAAGTATTGCCACCACTTTCCTTGTTTGATCTCCGAGTTGATTGGCTTGGAGGCCAGAATAAATGTGAGCTGGTGGCGATTGTCACAGACGATATGGAGGTGTTTGGACCTGCTTGGGCCAACATTCTGCAGCTAGCGAATGGAGCTCCCCTTTCGTCCGACGAATTGAGTTCACATGTCGTTAAACCAATCCCCATTCTTTCAACCGATGAAGCCCCCAAAAACTTGCACCACTTGCTATATCCTATGCGGTCACGATCTACGCCTCAGCGGTCAGTTAACAAAGGATCCTTGGTCTTGATTGATGTTGCAGATGTAAGTGATTACGTTTTGTGACTCGGCTACTATTTAGTGAGTCTTCCTGCATGTAGTTGGCCGCTGGCACTACTAGGTGGTATGGATCGGCCTGCACAAAGAAGAGCTACGGCAGTCTTTTTTTGTTTGACCTTGAAGCGCTTGTCCCCGTGAGGTGTCTTTCGGGAAACGCAGCTTCTGCCTAGTGTCGGAGAGAAAAAGGTTCACGGAAGGGAACACAACAGCTATATTCCAACAAAGTGGGTGCGAGAGCGTGAGTGCGTGCAAGTGCGGAAAGTATAACGGCCTCAAGCATTTTATTGGAAGGACACTGTCTGAACTTGGTCCAATGCTGACGCACGCGGTCTGGCTTTAGTACGAGGCAGCGACGTGCTGCATATTGCGGAGGCGTTGTCTGTCCTTGATCAACGTTGACTCGCGCTGTCTAGGTTTGATGCAAGGCTGTGACGCGCTGCATATTGAGGGGGCGTTGTCTATCTGGTCAACATCTAGCGGAGCTGAGAGTCTCCGTAGATTCCGGGCATTCAGTGGTTGCTTTCAGGAAGCTGACTTTCCTGATACCTTGAGAAAGTACCGCCCTACGAAATTCTCCCTGGCCCTGAAAACCTTTCAACTTAGGTAGAAGACACTCATCGGGGTAAAGTACTTCCACTAACTTACATCACAAATATGCCTACTTATGTCAGATGAACCCAGCTGTGGAATTCGTGATGTAAGGAAAGTTTACATCATAATTCCAGTCACCGTCGCTAACCTCAGCTTCCTCCAACATTACGTAATGTGTATATGCGTGGCGTTGTAAGCGTAGCGAAAAGTAAGCCGTTTAATTGACGTATTCGTAATCACGGCTTTTTCGTGAAGTGTGTCAGAATACAAGGTTGGATACCACAGAACAGCAAACAAAATCTCGAGACCTCTTTATTTTTAGGCCCCAATTAACTTTCTAGGCTATTTGCCGTGGTATTTCACTCTGTGATACTGTGAAAAACAATTAGTCCATTTGGTTTGTTGAATTCCTCTTATTGCGACCGTCAGTTCATGACCTCTGTGTAGTTGTCTTGCTTAGCCCGTCCTACTACGGACTCAGGAACTTTTACCTGTAGTAGGACGACAGGTAGCCACCGCCGATCCTGAACAGTGCAAGCACCAATCCTGCTAGTCAACTTTACCTTTCAAGAAACTGGGGGATTGAAGTAAAGCTCAACAAATATGTTCATTAGTTGAACCTTGGGTGTTGATGTCTAGTACATCTCCACAGACATCTCGGTTGACTCGTCTGCTGATGTATTTGTATCAGTATAGTTAACTTTAAAAGTTTGTGGCTGTTACACTACCATCGATTCAGAGGGTTAGTTGGAAATTAACATTGTGCTTTCTTTTCCCTCATCTGCCTCTTTCCAGCTTTCGTCCGAATGCATGGCTGAACTTGACCTGTTGCCTTGCCAGTTGGTCACTTGCGACTACTTCATCCAGTCTCTCATTTGTGGCCATCTTCTTAACCCGGTTGACTCTTCAGCCTTTGTACCCCCAAGACACTAACCAGCATCACTAGCCGTTCAGATTCACGATATTTTTTATCCGTCCGCACCAATGACCAATTATCTCTGCATTTATTCCCCTGTTCCCGCTGGTTTCCAAAATGTGATCCACTCACTTTCTACCTGCCTTTCACGCTTATTTGGTCTGCCGTGTGGTTCTTATGGAAATTTGGGGGGGGGGGGGCGAATATGAAGAAACTTCATTCTGTTGATTGGTTCGGTTGGCATTTGGTCCCACACGGTATCTTCCCAAGATCGTGGTCTGCTCTATCGTGGTTGGTCGTCTATTGGTTACGCCTGAACTGAGTCCGCCAGACCACACTGTAAGAGGACAGAAGGCCCGGAACACGGTTGTACTGTCAGGACAAGAATATAGAGGTTCTGCATAAATATATCGGATGGCTAAATGGCCTTCTGTCTAACCAATGGCGATGTTTCTGCCATGATCAATTTCACACCCACCGGTGGTCGAATGCAGCTAAGCCGTGTTTGGTAATCTCCGCCCCTTCACCTGCTATCCGGAACGTGTGGTACCGATGGTGACCTTAGGGGACGCGTCGTTCGCTGAACATGTACTTTTCGTGTCTGGACGCTTTCTGACATTTCATCACCCATGGAACTACTGATTATTGCATTTTTGTGTAACGAAACGCAGGTTTCACGCCACGGCGTTTCTCTTATCCAAGATCCGGTTAAGGCTCGGTCACTCACTCGTTGAGGCGTGCTGCCTCTTACGTGTGAGGAAGACAAGAGGATAGTAATGGGTTGGTGGTGCAACTAACGCAGCCCATATCCGTCGCCCGGTAACAAATGGGTTGCTGGGATGACCCTCCGCCATAGGGTATCATAGCATACCGGTTTCTCTCCAGCATGCCTTACGTTTATAAGGGAAGTGCTCCTCCTGTCTTGACGTCCATCAAACCCGCGAAACTCACTGACACCAGATACGGTTCTTGTTTGGTGATGAAGCGGTTGAGAGCTATGGGACGACTCGACGAACAACCGAACAGCCTTAAGATCCTCTTCTATCGCAAAGTGTTAGGAATGTCAGATTCCTGAAGATTATTCCAGAATACACGAACCCTACTTAGACCCTCAATACATAGCGCGAGACAGCCTTGTATCAAAGTCAGACAGTGCGAGATAGCCTTGGACCAAGATCAACCGGTGCCCGCTGGATATATAGTGCGAGGCCGTTGTGCTTTTCGCACTTGCTTGTCCGCTACAAAGCTGTCCTGTTCTTCGTCGGCGAGTCTTTTTGGCACTAGGCACTGGAGCGGGGACAACAGTCTGATATAAAACAAGGTGACATTAAAGACAAGTCAAGTGAAAGCTTTAGGATAATCTGCTCAAGATTCTCCATGCAAATAGTAGTTCTAAGCACTTGTGTTTAAAGTGACAATCTTTATACTCGTCAAAGTCAAAACTCTTGCATATTTGACAAACGTTCTGCTGTATTCAGAAAACTGTTGTTGGTCGAAGAAAGATTTCAAGAGCGAGCCTACAAGTAATTGGAATTTGATCGATTCGGTAGTGCAGTGATTCCCATCCAAAATGAATTTCTCGGAGGAGAGAACAAATTCTTTTGGTCCCAAATCTTACGCTATGGAAATCCTTTAAATTATATCCCACAAGGGAGTCCGTTCACCCGGAAAACAATACGCGACTAGTGTTTACCGTAGCCTGATTTGAGAACTCATTCTCCAAATATTGCCGTTTATCACAGTGAATATTCGTTTTGTTCTGTTTGGGCGTCATACAGACATCTCCCAGACACTCGGTCTTCGTGCTTAAAAAGATCGCCGTATAGGGATAGCAGTGAGGGACTCACTGACGTGTATAAGTTTGCAACGTTAGCCAACAACCTTGTCTTGTGGGTCCAGAAAATAAGTCTGGATTTCACTATTACAGCAGTGGGGGTGCTCGAATGTAATTTCCTTTTGGTGCACTTTGTCCGTGTGAGACGACTAAAATGAGTCCCTAACGTTCAAAAGTAACACGACAATGGAGTTAACGTCTCGTACAATTTTGATTGTTTTTCACTCAATATTATAGTTCCGAATTTGGTCAATTTCTTAGCGGACTAAATACACTTGCAATGACGTTATCGACAGACTTGACTCAATCCCTGATTTCTAACCCAATGCGTTGCCGGACAGTCGAGATACCACAGCATCTTTCCTCGACGGAACACACTACTGAAACCACGTCTGGTTTCGCTCATATTGGGGCTTATGGGGAAGGCATATTCCAGGTGTTCCCATCAACCTTATGGTCTGATTAGACAGTTCGCGAAATGCGTTCATTCATACCTTCATCGGTTGTAAATACGCGTGATTTCCGTAGAATGGTTACATTGCCATCTTTGAGTAATTCAGATCCCACGTTGACAACAATGTTGCTCCCAAATGAGTGCCTCTCCACTTTCACACACATTGGAAATAAAGTTGCTGGAAACTCGGGGTCTAGGCTCATATTGTAAGCCCTGAGAAGGCCGAGATCGGCTGTAGGCAGTTGAAATTTTTGGCGGCCTTATTGTGTTCTGTCAGAGATCATTCCAGAGAGGTTTGGTAAAAAATTGGTGGATTTATTGCTGGGCAACGCTTCGGTCGAGACAGAGGCTTCGTCAGGCCAATTAAGTAACCAGGTTGATCAGGTTTTAAGAAATCTCCCGGATTATTTGCCTGACTGTCCGACTGGATTAATGCTGGGTGTCGGTCTGAAATTTTTGTTTGTGAGTGAGGGTGACTAACATTTACGGTGGATTTGTTTGGAGGGATTGTCTTCTTGTTGAAACCGGATTTCGCGGCCTTGCGTTTTGGTCTGGGACATCTAAATGGAATACTCCTCTAAGGGGTCGTCCATAGATTTTGTTCGATCGTGTGCGTCGAGCGGTGCTGCGACATTTGGAACGGGGTTTGTGGCATGGTTAAGTGGATCTTACTCCGCTTGTATTTTGTGCTTTTAGACCCAGACCATTTAACCGATAACTTTGCACACCCTTGCGTCATCTTGGCTGATCTAGAACCGCTGTCCACACGCTTGCCAGTTCTATGCCCTCTATTCTGTTCACGCTGGGATGCTTGTCGGTTTTCACCGCCTCAGTCACCAGTCCCTGTGGCGTGAATCTTAATCCCCATTTCCTATATCTGACCTGTACCCAGTGTCTAGTGCATGTCCTGCTACTGCCGAATCTTCAACTATCGCCTGATATTCATCTACATTTCCCGGTGGTCTGTTGATGCATTGCTCATGCTCACTGCTTCTGGTGTGCAGTCTGGCCTATATAAACCTTCGTACAGTCACTACATTTTGCAAAGACACTTCCTAGTCCTATCAACAGAAGGGCGATCCTTCAACTGCACCGAACGTGAGGTTCTTCGCTTCTGGAATGCTACTCTAGGCGTACTCAGTACCCTTCTAATGACTTCAGATGTCCCTGTCTTGTATGGAATGTCTGCTGTTCCGATCTGCTGGGATGACCCTCCGCCATAGGGTATCATAGCATACCGGTTTCTCTCCAGCATGCCTTACGTTTATAAGGGAAGTGCTCCTCCTGTCTTGACGTCCATCAAACCCGCGAAACTCACTGACACCAGATACGGTTCTTGTTTGGTGATGAAGCGGTTGAGAGCTATGGGACGACTCGACGAACAACCGAACAGCCTTAAGATCCTCTTCTATCGCAAAGTGTTAGGAATGTCAGATTCCTGAAGATTATTCCAGAATACACGAACCCTACTTAGACCCTCAATACATAGCGCGAGACAGCCTTGTATCAAAGTCAGACAGTGCGAGATAGCCTTGGACCAAGATCAACCGGTGCCCGCTGGATATATAGTGCGAGGCCGTTGTGCTTTTCGCACTTGCTTGTCCGCTACAAAGCTGTCCTGTTCTTCGTCGGCGAGTCTTTTTGGCACTAGGCACTGGAGCGGGGACAACAGTCTGATATAAAGCAAGGTGACATTAAAGACAAGTCAATTGAAAGCTTTAGGATAATCTGCTCAAGATTCTCCATGCAAATAGTAGTTCTAAGCACTTGTGTTTAAAGTGACAATCTTTATACTCGTCAAAGTCAAAACTCTTGCATATTTGACAAACGTTCTGCTGTATTCAGAAAACTGTTGTTGGTCGAAGAAAGATTTCAAGAGCGAGCCTACAAGTAATTGGAATTTGATCGATTCGGTAGTGCAGTGATTCCCATCCAAAATGAATTTCTCGGAGGAGAGAACAAATTCTTTTGGTCCCAAATCTTACGCTATGGAAATCCTTTAAATTATATCCCACAAGGGAGTCACCCGGCCCGGAAAACAATACGCGACTAGTGTTTACCGTAGCTTGATTTGAGAACTCATTCTCCAAATATTGCCGTTTATCACACTTTCGTTTTGTATGTAATTTCTTTTTGGTGCACTTTGTCCGTGTGAGACGACTAAAATGAGTCCCTAATGTTCAAATCTGACTTGTACCCAGTTTCTAGTGCATGTCCTGCCACCGCTGAATCTCCATCAATGGAGTTAACGTCTCGTACAATTTTGATTGTTTTTCACTCAATATTATAGTTCCGAATTTGGTCAATTTCTTAGCGGACTAAATACACTTGCAATGACGTTATCGACAGACTTGACTCAATCCCTGATTTCTAACCCAATGCGTTGCCGGACAGTCGAGATACCACAGCATCTTTCCTCGACGGAACACACTACTGAAACCACGTCTGGTTTCGCTCATATTGGGGCTTATGGGGAAGGCATATTCCAGGTGTTCCCATCAACCTTATGGTCTGATTAGACAGTTCGCGAAATGCGTTCATTCATACCTTCATCGGTTGTAAATACGCGTGATTTCCGTAGAATGGTTACATTGCCATCTTTGAGTAATTCAGTTGAATCCCACGTTGACAACAATGTTGCTCCCAAATGAGTGCCTCTCCACTTTCACACACATTGGAAATAAAGTTGCTGGAAACTCGGGGTCTAGGCTCATATTGTAAGCCCTGAGAAGGCCGAGATCGGCTGTAGGCAGTTGAAATTTTTGGCGGCCTTATTGTGTTCTGTCAGAGATCATTCCAGAGAGGTTTGGTAAAAAATTGGTGGATTTATTGCTGGGCAACGCTTCGGTCGAGACAGAGGCTTCGTCAGGCCAATTAAGTAACCAGGTTGATCAGGTTTTAAGAAATCTCCCGGATTATTTGCCTGACTGTCCGACTGGATTAATGCTGGGTGTCGGTCTGAAATTTTTGTTTGTGAGTGAGGGTGACTAACATTTACGGTGGATTTGTTTGGAGGGATTGTCTTCTTGTTGAAACCGGATTTCGCGGCCTTGCGTTTTGGTCTGGGACATCTAAATGGAATACTCCTCTAAGGGGTCGTCCATAGATTTTGTTCGATCGTGTGCGTCGAGCGTGGTCTGCGTGCGTTAAGGGATGCCAGGGCAACTGGAGTGGTGCTGGGGTGGGGGTCGATCAACTGGATCTTCCTAGGCTTGGCTCTTCAACATTTAGACCCAGACTATCTCAGGGATAACCACTCACAGTCTTGTGTCACCTCGACTGCCCGCTTGCTTGCCAGTTCTATGCCCTCTATTCTGTTCACGCTGGGATGCTTGTCGGTTTTCACCGCCTCAGTCACCAGTCCCTGTGGCGTGAATCTTAATCCCCATTTCCTATATCTGACCTGTACCCAGTGTCTAGTGCATGTCCTGCTACTGCCGAATCTTCAACTATCGCCTGATATTCATCTACATTTCCCGGTGGTCTGTTGATGCATTGCTCATGCTCACTGCTTCTGGTGTGCAGTCTGGCCTATATAAACCTTCGTACAGTCACTACATTTTGCAAAGACACTTCCTAGTCCTATCAACAGAAGGGCGATCCTTCAACTGCACCGAACGTGAGGTTCTTCGCTTCTGGAATGCTACTCTAGGCGTACTCAGTACCCTTCTAATGACTTCAGATGTCCCTGTCTTGTATGGAATGTCTGCTGTTCCGATCCACTCCTTATTGGACCCAGCCCTATTCTGAGTGTAAACAGGCGAAAGGTGAACAGTTTATTACCTGACAAAGACGTACGAAAACACTAACCAGTAAACTTAGTCGGATAGGCAACCGCCGCCTCCCTGGATATAGACCCCGGGACTCGTCACCAATGGTTGATTAAACTGGCAGAAATGGCCCAATCCTGCAGTCAGTGGGGCTCGTGCATCAATGCTATCGCCCTCACTGAGAAGCTACCCACTTCAAGAACTAACTGAACATGCCAACGTCTCCAAAGCTTGGTTGTATGTCCCACACTATCCAGTTTTCCGGCGACCGTTACTGTAGCAGCTGGAACTAGTGCCTTGGTATATGGTTTATAGCCGACAAATTGAAAATTGAATAGAGCTTCTGTGTTGGGATCAATACCCGTCTTAGTTGCCGGGTATCCGCTATCTAGAAGTCACCTTTTTTTATCTCAATTAGTGCTGCTGTTCGGCAAAACTCTTCCGTGTACAGTGCTCTTACTCTACTAAATATAGTTGGAACTATACTAGCGTATACTGCTTTTCCGTGTGCCGCATCACTCTCCGTTGATGTCCGATAAACAACGGTCTTTGATTTCTCACCACTCTTGTATGTCATGCAATCAAAGAAGGGTAATGCACCCATGGTAAACTTAATGTGATTGCCCAAAGTGCTTAGTTATTGGAAGAATTCCTTAGCTTATCCCGCTTTATTCCAACGAATGTGTCATCTGCATAACGCCAGGAAACCCTTGGCAGACACTCGAATTCGTCTAAAGCTTTTTGTTCAGTCTTCCGTGTACATGCTGGCCAAAATTGGGTATACTGGAGATCCCATCGCCAGACCTTGTTCTTGAGGGTATACAATTGAGTCAAAAACAAAGTGACTGGGGCTTATACATAATTTTGTGCCTTCAACAGTCTCATCTACGGAGAGTTACATTCGTACTTGTAGCGTTGGTCTGCAAGTATTAGCCTTCTCACCATTTCCAGAGCGTCCGCTTTCGGTACTTTGGTATACATTCAATCAACATCAAAACTAACAAGGACTTCGTGCAGCTTTAACTGAAACCCATCTACTTTTTTAGCAAAGTCACATGAATTGTAATGTGTGTTTGGTGATTTATCAAAACTAACAAGGACTTCGTGCAGCTTTAACTGAAACCCATCTACTTTTTTAGCAAAGTCACATGAATTGTAAAACATGTGTGGGTGATTTGCCTACAAGTGTTTTAAGGATGCCTTCCAGAAATCTGCCCAGCTCATGTAATGGTGGACCTATGCCATCCACTATTGGTCTCATGGAGACACCTTCCTTGTGAATTTTTGGTAACCAATAAAGTGGTGGTTGGATTGCACATGTTTACTATAATGGATACCACTTGCTTGCCCCAGATGGCTTGTCACGGATCTTACATACCTCCCAATTTCAACCTTATATAATAATCGTTCCATTACCAATTTATCGGTAAGGCCCATCAGCTACGTGTTGTCTAACTTTCTGTAGATAGTCGCTCTCATACATGACGACCGTGGTCTTCCTTTTATCTGCCTTTGTAATTACTATATTGTCTCCATGTTTCAATGTGTTTAAGGCACTTCGCTCTGCTGGTGCAATTTTTGGAACCCCTGGTTGCTTGGACTTCAGGACTGTGACCAACTGTACGCATAATTTCTCCGCTTCCATTGACGGAATTTTCTGAAGCACGGACTCAAAACTAGGAATGATCTCTTCCGACCTGGTGACTGTACCCAAAAAGTGCGATCCAACCACGACTTTATGGATTACCGAAAATTCACAATGAAGGTGTCCCTATAAGACCAATAGTGGATGGCATGAGTTCATCACCACAAGAGCTGGCCACAAATCCCGTTTCAACATGAAGACAATACCAATATATCGTAAACGTTAGCCATTCTCACTAACCAACAACCAGGAACTTCAGACCGACGCCCAGCACTGATCAAGTCGGATAGTCATAAGAAATCTCACGGATTATTTGCCTGACTATCGTAAAAGCCAATCAACCTGGTTACTTACTCGTTTGGCCTAACGAAGCCTTTGTGTCCATAGCGAAACGTTGCTCCGCAGTCGGTTAGTCATAAGAAATCCCACGGATTATTTGCCTGACCCAATCAACCTGGCCTGACGAAGCCTTTGTGTCCAGAGCGTTGCCCGCAATAAACGAGAGATTCACTTGAACCCCCCGTAAAGACCAAATTGATTTGCAAATGAGTGTATTTGCTGAAATCTGCCCCCGTGGGACGACAACCACCAAATCCGTCCCAAACATTTTCCAATTAATCGAAAGCAAGTTCTCTTTAGAGAGAATTTCTTGTACGAAACAACGATTTGGTGTTCTGTTTAAAAGGGAAATTACTACAGTAGTTTAAGCAGGCCACGTCGACGAGAAAAAGTATTTATCATCCTACTTCTGTCTTGAAGTTTTCTATCAATACTATCCAAGGTAATGTAGTTCCCAAATTGCCGCACCGCTATGTTGGACTCAAAGTACTTTCGTTTTATCACGTCTAGACCATGTTAGCCATACTATTCAGTAATGGCTCTTAGCTCACAATGCGGACAATATTGAACTAGGCGTATTTCGAACAGGGATTTTGATTTGTTTGGCTTATCAATTCATCTTTTGAGTCACATTCTGCTTCGATCTCAGTAGGGATCAGCTTCTGTCGATGAACTGCAGTTGGTTTTGAGTGAACGCTTAGGACACAGCTACCTGCAGTAGCCGTCATATCCTCACTTACAAATTTACATACCCCTCTCGTTCCAGCAAGAATATTACGAATAGAAAAGGTTAACCAACACTGAAGATAGGAATGGTATAGGTATAAAATGCGTATAGAATATTCATGATCTCAAGTTTATGATTTCGGGGGGTTTAGTGCCACCGTGTACTGTTGCCCCTATACTTGCGCGTCGTCAGTTGACTGGATCAGATTCGGCCTCGGCTTGAGGTACATCTGCTGATGAAGGCTCCTTTGACAGCTCGATACCCCGTTTCAGTTCGGAGTTTTCCAACTCTAAGTGTTCAACTTTTTGCCGCAGTTCATCTAATTCCTGCTTCATGGCTTCAACTTCTGCCGCATCTGGTCCCCCGATTTGCAGATGTTTCCGAATGAATCTGAAAGTTGAGAAATTGGAAGAGCTTCTTGAGTGAATATTTTAACAGCAAAACATACAGTGGATGCACATGACACAACATGGATAGATGATTGGTTAGATTCTGCCTGTCACAGATTGTAAGAGCACGACAGTTTGGTGTTGCCATGTTGGTAGATTCTCTTTGGTGTTCCAATCTAAATTGCAGTACTCGTCGGTCTTAAATGCTATTTCTCTGCTCACTCAAATTTTCTGTCATACAACCGTCAAAAGTGGTCGTACATCTGTGTAAGGTTACCACCTAGGTTTTACCATATGCATCGGTTATCACCGATGTTTAGATTGCACAATTTGGCTTGCGCCCGCTTTAGATGTATATCATCGAAAAACTACAGGGCTCTGGAACTAATTAATAAATCAGGTGGAACGATCGTCAATTTTTTGCTGCTGTTGTCCCTTACCAGCTTAGGTTATTCGCACTTTTGCTGTTTTCACATCAATTTCCACGGTTTCCGAAACCGACATTCCGATCTTCCAGCTTTCCAAATTCTAATACGCTGTCAACATAAACTGGTGTTGGTCCGTCCGACCATCGTAGACCTCACTTAGAAAGAGCATGTGTTAGTGGGACAGGTATTTTACAAAACGCTAGTCGAGGGACCCGTGCTGTAGCGGTAAACTTCGACTCGGTTTGCTCTGAGTTTTGTCTTCCTCAGATCTAAACATAAAATCTCATTTCCTTCGAAGGAAATGTGTAAAACATCTTCCAGTTTATGCTAGTTATTGTCCAATGTATTTACGTGGAACATCCTTTTGTGAGTATTTCTAAACGTTCGTAGACGAAACCACTTAGTCGGAAATAACAAGACAGATGGTGTTTACCCCTCAGCTAATACTTTTCCTCGGTTTTTGCTAATTTTCATGACGTTTGAATCAAGGACTAATAGTTTAAGAGTTCATTGCCGCCCTCCCACCCTGTATATTTCGTGTGTCGTTATGTTTCCTGCATTCATTAACCCAGGTCTTCTTCTTGAGTATACAATGTCTATCAAAGTAACAGGACAATCACATTCATCTTACATTTGTCCAATTATGACTGACCTCATCCCGAGTACCTGTTGTTTATCTGATCGTAAATCCTCCTCAGCCAGATAACTACTGTCAGTAAACTGAAAAAAACATCATTTTCAAGCTTCCATTTGATTCATTTTTATCCTGTCAATCCAGCCGCTTACAGAGCCGGCCGATGACGGACATCTCTTACACAAGTCTGCGCAGGCCCGGCTTATGGTTCACGGCCTAGCCACATCCACACATCTAGTGGCATATGTCCACTACACACATGCACGAGACGTATGTGGTGGGTCCGTTGGCGAAATTTCACGACAGACCGACAGCCTGCCGAGCCCTCACTCAGCATAATCCGAAGTATCGGGCCTCTTATTTGCATGTTACCAACCGGCATGGCTTAAACATTCCTCCTGAATTACACTGACGCGATTCCATCGCTCCCATCCGTGCCAGGGCTGGCCACACCCATCTCAAGTACTTTCAGTGCAGACGTGAAGACAGTCCTAACATGACTGTAGGGAGAATGTGGGTGAGACTGGCGGTGGTCTATCGTCGCCCTCAGGGCACGTACGAGATCGCACTGAAGTCGGCCGATTTTGTGGTCCAATTGAATGCGACTGTTGTACTTAGCCGGAAATTATGTAGAAAGGATAGGATAAGCGATGTACCGAAGAAGAAATGTCTCAAAGTTGAACTCGTGCATTTACGATTCGTTAGAGGGTCTGTGGTGGAGGAAATGGTTTAACTAGCTGTAAAGATGCGCTGGCCAGGCAGGACAGAACAAGTTAAGGTTTGTCCAACCTACACGTCCATCTGGCCGTCCTAACCACCGGACAAGCTGAGATGTGTTCACGTTTGGATGTACCCTCAACTTATGCCTTTTGACGGAGTATGCGTTTTGGCATACTTTTTTAGGCAGCCTGCCAGTGTATCCGGTTTTGATCCATTTTCTCCATGGAACTGGTGAAATTCTGGTATCCAATATAAGTTGCAGGTTCCACTCGTGTAGCTTGCAGAATTTTGTTATCAACATGTCATCCGACATATACGCTCAGCGCCCTACTTTCAGCAAGCTAGTGATCAGGTCAGGCTATATGTGGGCACATTCAAAAAGGCCTCTTTGAAAGCTCTCCAAATAAACGAGTCTAAAAAACTCCGTGACACTTCCTTTCCACCCATGTGAGAACCCGGCCTCCTGCAAAGACACCAGTGGAAATGTTTCAAGAGCTAGTTTCAGTAAATACCGATATCAGACGCTCGTTGCAGTTATCCTAAGTACACTCGAGCTAACAGACGCATGTACGGCATACTTAATGGCTGATCTGACAACTTACGATGATAAGGTAACCAGGGCCCGTTACTCAGCTCCCGAAAAAATGTGGTATTTTTCCCACACTTTAGTCTTGCATATTTTGCGTTTAGGAACAAGGGCAATCTCGAACGGGGTGTGCCAGACTGGGCTTGTCAAAAGGGCATAGCGACCCGAAGGTTGCGACCACCAAAATCAGCCACCCGGTGCCCACATTGCCTTCACCTCATTTGTGTACTTTTCTTGCTTTTCGATATACCCCCGGGTCAGCTAAAAGTACGGTCAGTTTTGATTTAACGTCTGAGTTTTGTTTTGGGAGTCTAAGGTTGCTCATGCGAAGAGTATTTTGCGATCTGTTGATGCACCAACTCGGGTAGTGTCCATCCATCACAGGAGCCGTTTGTGGTATGGCACAACTTCGTGGTTTAGGAACGAGGTTAAACGTTTTCCCTAATACACCTAAGCAGTACATTGTGTGTCGAAGGGAAGTTGGATGCAATGGGCGATTGGAATCCGGAATAATTTTCCGAGAAAACGTACACAAGGTTGTCTGCTTAGCTAGCAGTATGCCATATGACTGAATTAATGTGTTGTATGCCAGTCTTCTTCCACTGGAAGAGAATGACCATTCCATTGCCTGGTTCCAAATTCGTGTAAGTTCAGCATAGCTAGGCTGGGTGAAATATGTACTTCATCCCCAGTGTGTCGTGATGGTAGAGCCCCACCACGCAGGCGACCAAGCACAGCTACACACTTTGAAAGGGTGAACTCTTCGGTTGGGGCAAACAGGTGTAGTAGCTTGAGTTTGGAAACAAACATTTCTCGCGGCCGTTCAAATTTAGGAAGTTGTATAGATGAGTGAGGTGATAACGCTACCCAATACAAGTGTATCCTGTTGCTAGCTATCAAGAAATGTTCCAAAGATCCCCATAGCATGTTTAACGGTAACGCTTCATTTTAGTGGTATTCCAAGATATTTTTGTCACAGTAGGGTTGGATTATTTTGCTCGACCCAAAATAAGATGATTATCCTAACTAGCTTGAGTCCACTCATGATGCATTGTGCAAAGGACAAAGCACACGCTAGTATGAGCACCTCATAGCCTCCGAACAAGTTTACTCAGTGCTAACCGCACGCATATTGCTGATTTTGAACCTGTCTGCCACATTATCGGGAACACGCGTTGGGCAATGCAGCTAATCAGACCTCTCAGTTCCGTGCTTGCCATCAACTTCTTGGTTGGTTATTGTCAGCAGGTCATTTGGCACTGAAATGACTCGTTTGCATACTAAGTGTTGTGAATAAGGAATCCGAATGCAAATTGTTCTTGGTGTTCTCCGACCCGGTGTATCGTGCAAAGGCTTCTTCCTGATTTGGTTACGTCGATGTTCAAAATATCGAAGCGTTTCCTCTTCATACTTGATGTCACTTAATGGATCTACTTTAGCTGGTACTATAGACACTACTCCGAAACGACATTCTGCGATGAACCAGGTAAGACGGTGTTCGAAAGCATATTGTGACCACCATTCAGGACAGGTAATTCAAGGTTGCACGCTCTCTAGCATGAAAAGATCACACACGGTCTTCAACAAAATAGTTAAATGAAGCAAACGACTATATGCTACTGTGTCTCTTAACTTGTCTTCCACGAATGGGCCCAACGAACCTTGCTCCTAGGCTGATGAACAAAGCACTAGCTTCCCCACAACCTGGAGATTTTGGAGCGCGCATACGCGAGCGTTTTTCACCGTCTCCTTACCAATAATACCTGAAGCATGCTTATACGGGTGCTGCCCTGGGTTAAGCGATATATTCTGGATAGAAAACAGACAAAAGGTCAATGCAGCACAGTGAACTTTCGTACACTGTCAGTGGTCATCTACCTGTGTTATTCAACTTACCGAATGGGTATAACAACTAGACCTCAAGGCTAAAGTGCAGACCGATCAGCTTAGTCGATTGGGGTAAAGCTGTTAAAGGTGACCAACGTAGGGGAGAAACACTGAACTCGAGGTCGACTCTCGTTAGAATTCTTCAACAGACCAGTCACGTCGCCCAGACGCGAATATATTCACCTGCTCAGACGAGCTAATTAAGGCTCGTCTGGTTTGTGCTGGTGGTGCAGTAGTACCGCACTCGCCTGGTATGTTTCGTATCCGGGGCGCTAAAACTCAACGCAGCGAATCGTGTACACTGCTGATGAGCAGGTGACAATAACCGAAATGGCAAGCTCGGTGTGTCCTGGAATCTATGGTTAACATTAAAAAAACTAACAAATTCACGGTCACCGGACGATCATGTGGTCAAATTTGATTGCATCTCCCAATGGCTGTATATAAAGAGGATTTCCCCGCCACATAATGTACAATGTTGGAGAGAATTTACAGCCCTCTCCTAAATCCTTGTGATATAAAAGCCACGCAATATAAGCGCACCAGAAACGCAGCGAGTAATTGTTGTGTACCGTAAAGCCGGGTTAACATATCTTTGAATTACATGACTAAAATATACATATGAATGACTTTAATCCTAGGGCATACTGACTCTGGGACTCTTCGACTAAAGGCGTTCCACTGAGGGTAGCCTCAACTGCGCTTCATGGCCCCTGAGTAACAATGAGCTACTGTTCCAATGCTCG